CGCTGCCTGCTCCGCCCTGCACCGCGGGGCCGCGCGGGGAGCGGGGCCGAGCGCCTCGCACGGGCCGGCCCGTCTGTGCCCGGACCGCGCCGCAGTCACGCGCCGCTTCCCGGTTCAGCCCAGTCCCCCGCAGCCAGTTGCGCAGAGCCGCCCCGCGGCGCCCGGGCGCTTATCTGACAGCTGGCAGGTGCTGAGCAGCTGCGTGAATCAAATCCTCAAACTGCCTGGACTCTGGTCCCAACCTGCTGCATTGCTTTGTCAAAAGGCCAAGAACCCCCTATGCCTGCTTGGAGCAGGAACCTTCTTTAAAAATAGGGAACATTGAAACCTACCGGATTTACTGTTCTCTTCCACTATTGCAACCAGGTTAGGCAGCAGCAGCGGGCTTGGGTGGGCTGCAAATTGTCAGGCTTCAGCTCTGATGTTGAACTAAACAACTGAAAAATGCTCTAAGCAGGATTCTGAGCCGTTAACTCTAAAAAATGGAAACCTGATTAGTCAAGAGAAATACTATTTTCATACACAGGTGCATGCTTGGTCATGCTTGGGCAGCCAAGTATATTAATAAAAATACTGACAGCTTGATTACAGGCATGTTATAAAATGGACTCAGAGAGTTTTTAGCCAAAGAATATTGAACGGACAGATGCAAAATAAATGCTAGCACCTCTTTCCAGAAATATCTTTGTATGTTGCATTTACAGAGTTGAAAGGGAGATGCTGCTATTTTTCTCCAAACAGCTACACAATTACATTTCAGCATAGCAGCTACGAAGGAATGGGATCTCAGCTGTCCCACAGCAGCCAGCTTTTGCCAACAATTTACAGATTAAAAAACTTCCTCGCAGTTTTGTCCCTTCTCAAAGTGGTAATTAGACTTTGCTGCAGTGCAGGTCCCCTCTTAGGGCTGAGCACTGAGTGGTGAACCACCTAAAATTGTCCCTTATCACACTAGAGACACTGAGGGTCTGGTAGCTACCGGACCTCTAAAGAAAATTCAAGTGCAGAATTGGTGGGTCAGTGGATGGCCTAGTAAATCGGTTCTAAACCAAGTGTAGTTGTATTCTGGTCAGTCACCTTTGGGGTAACTCTGTAATGACTTTTTATGTTCCCCTCTTGTGACTGAATTGTAGAAATTGTTTCCGTTATTCTTCTAGAACCCATATAAATTTGAACTGCTCTGTTTCAATGGATAGCTGCTCACACTTAAGCAGCGAGTGGGCAACTCCTTTGTATACAAGGTAAACTTATCTTAGAGTACATCTACACGAGATTTTTACTGTGCAGTTGACTAATTAGCTGCACCAAATATCGTGCGTCTATGTGTGCACCCCTATTAGGCTGGAGTAGATTAACTCTGTAGCAGGGATGTGCTAAGCAAGCCCTATTCGATTTGGATTCAGATTCGGCTCGAATCGGGGACAGTGATTCTATTCGTTGATTCAGATCACTGTCCCTGATTTGATTCAGCTGAATCCAAATCTGAAGAGTCGATGCTGATTTGGAGAATCAGCGATTCAGACATAGACACAGCTTTAAAAGTTTTTTCTACATAACTCGAGGTACCAGCGCGGCTCGTGAACGCTGAGATGCTGGGGTGCATGGAGCACTCCACAGGAGTTCAGGGGGGCCCTCCATGTGCTTGGTGGCGAACCCGGAAGTGGACTGGAAGTACTTCTGGTCCACTTCCAGGTCTGCTGGGGAGCACGCTGGCCCCCCCCCCGCACCCCTCTGGCTTGGCAATCAGCCACAAGGGGACCCAGAAGGCAATCAGCCCCCCAGACCCAGAAGGCACCAGTTGTCAAGCTGGGGGCTGCAGGGGGCCCCCCAGCACGCTCCCCAGCAGACCCAGAAGTGGACCAGAAGTGCTTCTGGTCCTCTTCCGGGTCTGCTTTCAAGCACGCTGGGGAGCCCCCCTGCACTCCTGTGGGACGCTCTACGTGCCCCAGCATCTTAGCGTTCACAACCCACCTCCTACCTAGAAGTCAGTGGCAAAAAACATTTAAAGCTGTGTCTATGTCCAAATTTTTCTGAATGTCTCCAAATCAATTTAGACTGTTCTGATCCGATTCAGAGAGATTAAAGGCTCCTCTGATTCGATTCGGATTCAGAGATTCAGCCACTGAATTGGGCCAAATCTCTGCCAAATCGAATCAGGGACCGAAGCTGTGCACAGCCATACTTGTAAGTACAAGTACTATCCTGCTGCAGTTTTTTACTCAACAGCAGTGCATGTGTAGACGCTGTCCCCGCTGGCTGGGGCTTGAGGGCGCTTCAGTGCAGAGGCTGCCTGCCAGCCAGCTTCACACTGAAGCACATTCATGCCCCAGCTACCCCCTCTGTGGCACACTGAGTTGGCGAGAGCAGCCCCAGGCTGGCAGGCTGACCCCTGGGTCCCCTGCCAGCTAGAGCTGCTCCAACTTGGCTCAACATATTGCGCACCTAGGAGCACCAAGCTGGAGCAATAGGCTCCGGAGTTTATTCATGCACTCTACCTGCACTTGTAGACACATCCTAAGATTTATATATACACAACTGAAGTCCATAGAAGTTATTCACACACAGTAAAACAGAATTTGGTTAACTGGCTAAAAGATGCTTTGGTGATGATGCTTCTCCCACCCTCCCCAATAGTTAAGTGCACTCACCCTGGATATTGAATAGCCAGAGTTGCTGTTCTCCTTAGCAGAAAGGGGTTTCAATCTGGATCTCCGACATCTCAGGGGAGACATTCATGAATAACTCACTGAGATTAAAATATTTTAAGCATAATGCAGAGCTGAAACATTCAGTCTAAAACAGCAGGTGACAAGAGCAAGCTCAATTTTGTTCAATTTTCTTGACAGGTTTCTCCATTTAAATAATGCTGGAAGTGTTTTCAAAGTGCTATGCATCCCAAACCCTGCCACAAGTCAAGATGAATATTCCAAACAGTTTCTTCTTGCAGCCACAGTACTGTCAAGCTCCTGACCAAATATTACCATAAACAACTACATTTTTGTTGGGCTTGATCTCCTACCCTTGGTTTTCAAGCTGTTGCTTTAAGGGCCCCAGTTCCGCAGGCAATAAAAGTACAGAACTGAATGGGAGCTAATGGGAGATTTTCACATACCTTGAATTTGGTAGCCCTAACATGAGACAATTAGGTGTGGTGACAGAGGGGTTATGCTATCTTGCCATTGCTCTAGGGTTGCAAGTTCAAGCCTTACCCTGCACTCTTACAAAGGCTGCCTTCAGTTAACTCAGTTGTAACTGGGTATCTGGCTCATTGAGGCTGAGTCATGAAAGGTGGCTGGATGTGATGCTAGCTACATTACCCTCTTGTGTGCTGCTGACTACAGAAACTACTGCATCTCAAATATACTAACCCAATGGGCTGTTGGACTCATGTAGACATTTGTCTTAAATGTCCAGGTACTCTCCCACTTGAAAATACGTAACTAGAGAAAAAAATGCTAATTGTTCCACATCACCTCTTTTTTCATGTATCCATATTAAATGATCAGGGTTTAGGGTGCCAAACTTTACTGAATATTATTTAACCACTTGGAACAGGCTCTAGCTCTTCTCATGCAAATTTTAAGCTTAGGCACTTAAAACTGTATATTCAATTTATGGAGTCAGGCATCTGCAAGCTGAAAGTGTTAGGGCTGAGCATCACAATACTCGCTGGAGAGAGTGTCCTAAGTGACTTGAAAACTACTCGAGGTTTGAGTTGAGTCAGAGTTGCTGGTAGAATGATAAATTCTTGGGATTAATTCTGGCTTTGTTGAAGGGCATGGGAATTTTGCTATAATTTTCAGTGGGAGACAGACCAAGCACATTTTGATCAACACATATTCTTGTTTCAGGTTTTCCTCTGACTGAGGTCTTCTGTCTTACAAATTACCTTCAAGAATGTCTCTAATTACTTCAGATGAATCTCAGTCACAGATGAATCCCCATGCCAGGGCTCAAGGGTCCTCCTTTCTGTAAAAGGAGGACTCTATAGGATCCCCACTAAAGCTAGTCAGTTCTTTGAGTTGATTGAGCCACTTGAAGGGCTATAATAAGTTAAGTAGTGGTGAAACAAAATGTATTTTATATACAAAACTTAGCCTTTGTTTCCATCATCACTTTGCTCTAGATAGAAATTAATTGGTGACTAGTATTCTTTTAAAGTGATGCTGTATGTAAATTCTGGTTTTCTTAGCAATGATCTAGATGGGGGTGGGGAAAGGGGCAACCTGCAACACAGGTGCCACAGGTGGCAGGGGAAGCCTCTGTGTGTGATGGCATATTGGGGAGGGGATGGCAGCACCGTGGCAGATAGGGCAAGGAGCACAAATAGCAGCAGATGAGACAGGGAGCATAGGGAAGGAAGCAGAAAGCTGAGCAGCAGATTGGGTAGGGAAGAGGGATTGGAGTAACACTTGGAGAGGGCACCAGGCTAATTTGTGGCATGCCTACCATAAAGGTTGGCCCCAACTGGTCTAGACAGAAGAAAATCTTTTGCATACATCACTTTATTAGGATACTTTATAA